AAAATCTTTCTTCTGGATTAAAGATATTTCCCCTCAAAATGAGACATTTACCTAACAGTTCCTTTCAAATAATGCTGCAAAGGAGTGAAAGACAAAGGCAGCAGAGCTGAATCCTGCCTTCACTGAAAGAAGTAACAGAAGAATTGGTTAACCATAATCTTGCAGTATGCAACACAAAGTTAATGGAAAATGAGCTAATCAAGGTATCAGATGACACCAGGCTACACAGGTGAGGCTTTGTCTGTCCTATCTGGAGCAAGAGATAGGATAAAATTTACATGCTATTGTGAATAGCTCCTGAAAAGTCATCTTTTCATTGACATGCCCTCTGCAGTGTCAATTTAACAGCTCTGCTTGCTCAAATCATACCTTCGTCAGGCCAGAAATATAATCTTATAGTAATTCTACTTGGAATGAGAAGTGAGGAGAGGAAAGCAATAAAATTTCTGTTATTAAGAGCTTATAACTAAAAGCAAGCACACTCTAATATATTACCAACTATTTTGTTTCCTAATAAAGGCCGTTTTCTTCCTCAAAGGAAGTTTGCAACTATGCTAAGCAATTTACAAAAACTACACAGCTTTGTGGACAAATGGAATTATGACTGCTCCATGAGGTTTAATGATCAGTGCCCTATCCACACCACAGAAACCTAACCCTGCTCCAAGAAACCCAGGGATCATAACAGAACAGACCCCTTTGCCCTCCTACTGTGTACTGCCATGTAAAACCACAGTACAGAGGAACCTTAACGCAAAGTTTCATTTTCAAACCTGCTAAAATGATACTACTTTATGGAGTACATACTGTAGCAGTGCCTACTTAATCCACAAGAGTCCTTCTATAAACCAGTAAAACTGCAGAGCTCATACTTCAGCAGAAGAGAATATGGACACACATGGAGCTCCTAATACAGATTTGTTAATGGATGTTCCACTCCACACATCCCTTCCTCATTTACAGACATCGTGCGCCACTGAAAGAGAACTGATTTTTTTTCGGGGGTGGGGGGGGGTGTCTTTCTTTCTGCAGAGAACACTCCAGGAAGAAGGAAATCACTTTGCTTTTTGCCTGAGCTTGATGATATTAGACAAGTGACTTTGGAGAAGCTCTAAAAACACCCAATCAGATTTGGGTCTCAAACACTCTAAGAAGTCTGACAGTGAGAGGAGGAAGAATGTTGCAGCTTTTCAAGCTGCAAACATCATCATTATATGAATTTAGGTATTCATTACTTTAATTAATTTTAGTGGTGTAAGCCAAAAAGAGGCAAGTGCTAGGAAATGCATGTGCTCAATGCCTTCCCCAAAAGCAAGATGGATGAAGAGCAGTCATCCACGGTCTAGTGCTGTTATAGGAACCAGATCTTCTGAAGCCCTGTCCCATCCATCTTCTTAGACCATCTTTTGAGGGGCATTGGTCAAAACAGGTTGGAAATTAACTCTTTGGTTAATGAACATCAGCAAGAAAACAGTTCCCTGCTGCAGATGGAAACTAAATAGCACACAGCAGACAGAAAAATCAGTTTTGCTCTGCAGTCTAAAACTGAGCTAACAGTCAAAGCCTGGGTAGGAGAAGCAGTCTCCTTCCAGAAACAGAGACTTCCAGCACCTGATTAACATCACTCACAGGTGGAAGCCCTATGCAGGCAGGTAGTTTCCCCTGTGACTAAAGTTAGGCCTTTATTTTTACTCACCAGGATCAGACCTGCAGATTTATCCCCTTTCCACCCAGCACTCCCTGTGTTTATGCAATCCTTCAGGGCAGGCAAACCACACAGCATTCCATCATCTCTCCTGTATTTCCCCTTCCTCTCCTGCGTTTTATCTGAGTCTGAAATGAAAATGGGGGTGAGGGCAGCAGGTTAGAGGAAAGCCTGCAGAGGATTCCTCCTCCCCAGATTAGGATTTAATTGTATTCCTAGCGAGTCCCTTCTGGTTGCGCTCGGTCTTTCAGATGAATGTTTCATCAATATGATTAGGATCACATCCCTCAGTCTCCTCTATTTACACAATCGGTTGTGACAGCTCAGAGTATAGTACTCCCTAAAGGAAATATTAGATACCACCCTATCTTTTTATTCAAATCATATTTTGCACTCCACACTTTCAGGCTAATGTTATTCTCCCCTGGATTACATATCTGTGATACCCAGAAAACACTAAAATCCTTCCAATAAGGATTAGATTAATATTTATATTAGACATACTTGTATCATTATGATCACAGCTATGAAGATCTGGGGAAAAGGATGAGTGGGCTACAGAGCTCAGGGGGCTGGAGAATTGGGCTTGAATGTATAAAACAATGTAGGGCAGTAGTGGTAATAATAATAATAATAATAATAATAATAATAATAATAATAATAATAATAATAATGTAATGAAAGTCACAATTTCATGGGGTGGATGGGCATGAAGAAGTGCCGGCGGGCCCCGTCTTCATCGCCTCATTCCCCCCGCCTCTACTTTCGACCCAGAGCCGAAACCCCACAGCCAACTCCCCCTGCCCGGCTGGCCGATATTCCCGTTGGGAAGGGGAATTTCTGAAACGTAACGGTACCGCAGGAGCCATCGGGGGCCTATTCCCATTTCGGCGGCCGCCGCCTCACAGGCAACCGTGAGTGGGGTCTGTAAAAAGAACCTTTCCCGGGAAAGCCCCCTCCATTAACGCCGCGCTCCCCTCAGAGAGGAGGAGCTGGGGAAAAGCGAGCAGGTGTTAACAAGGCGGCGTTGAGGAAGGTGGGAGCGGAAATTCAGACTGAAAGTAAAACCCCATCCCATTGCTCGAAGAGGAAACATACCGAAAAATGTCTGCTCCTTCCTCCCCGGAGCGCGGAGGTGGCCGCCCTGAAGAGGAAGGAGCCCTTTTCTCCAAAGAGGGTCGGGGCGGTGCCGTCGGAAGAAAGAGCTTCGGGGTCGTTTCGTTTTCTGCCCGGGGTGTGAAGCGGCGGCGGTACGGTTTGGGGCGAGCAGCGAGAGATGAAGTTTCGTTGGAAAAAAATTACCAGAGGCTTGTTCTCGACGTGCCAGGTCTGCTTTAACGAAAACAACACTAAAACCCAGAGTCTTCGGCGAGGAATGGCCTCAATCCACGGGACGAACCTGTCTCCGCTGCTTCTATTGCCCCGCCGGGCTACTTAAAAATCAGGGCTTCGCACCCGGAGCACCGACCCTCGGTTCAAGGCAGGGAATATCCCAGAGAACTGCTAACTCGCGAGGAACGGCCCCGGGGTGCGCAGCCCGGCTTCCCGGGACCGGCGGGGGGAAGAGCCGAGCCCCCGGGACAGAGCCTTTGTCCCGCCGGCAGCCGCGGAGGTTCGGATTCTCCCTGACCCAGAACCAAGTTCTCCCTCTCCATCGGGCAGGGCTCGCACGCCACTCCCGCCGCGCACCACCGCAGTGGTGTAAACAACTATTATTTATTTCTTTATTTCGCTTTAGACCCGCCGTGCCCGTCCAGCTCACGTTTCACACTCGCACGCAGTTTTCATGCGAGAGCGTCGGAAGTGGCGGGGACGGGGCCGCTCCCTCCCAGCGCTCGCTGCCAGGCCGAGGTGGTGCTACATTTCCCGGCACACGCCCGCCTCACCCGGGGCGTGGGGAGGAAGGGGCGCTCACCCTCAGGCATCCCCCTCCCTCCAAAGCCGCCAGAAAAACCCCAGCGAGGCGAGGCGAGGCGAGGCTCTCTGCCCACAGCCCGTTGTTTGTGGCAGTAAATCACATTACGAAGCAAAGTGCAAGGGTAGTTAACTTTATCGTCTGTTAATGTAAACAAATAAAAAGCATTCAGTTCCTTGATCTTTATTTAAATCTGGCGTTGTTTATCAGTGTCATCCTATGAAGATTAATTAGATACCTTTATTCACAATTTGGCGTCTGACACCCCATTTTAGGAATGCATTATAATCACAAGGTGTTAATTGGGGCCAGCCAGGCACTTACGTTTCTATTAAACAGTGTGAGGACTTTTCACAAGTATTAAGTTCTTTTTTCACCGTGCGGTGCAAAAATATACAGCTTTTAATAACACAGCGCTGCGGAACCGTGCTGTGTAATCGGTGCTTGCAGGCCGGGTGGGGACGGCCGAGATGCCGTCGGACCCCTCGCCGGGAATGAGGGACCCCCTTCCGCAGGGGATTTTCCGGGAGGGGGTGGCCCCACTGGGGAAAAAAAAAAATAAAAGAAGAAATAATATGTTCGGTCCTTAGTCTCTTAAAAATTGCCTAAAGTCCCCATCCTGATCCAGATGGGGTCCTTGGGCAGAGGAAGCGCTGACAGGACAGCTCGCCACCGCGCAGAGCCGGAGCATCGGGCGGAGAGGCGAAGCGCTGATCGAAATCTCCTCGGACACCCGCCGCGTCCCTCTCCGGAGGAGGGGGAGCCCCTGCCGCTGCCCCCCCGATAGCGTCACCTCCACCGGGCACAGCCCCGGCCCGAGCCCTGCCTTTATTTTGTTTGCAGCCGGGAATCGTTAACAGCTTAATCCCATTACTGCCTGCATATCCTCAGGAAAGGTCCCGGCTGCCGCGGGAGCTGGGATTCAATCGCTCTGCTAGAAGCTTTCCCCTTCAGATAAGCGGGCAGGGGAATTTCTTGCCTTGTTCCAGGAAGCGGAGGGGGTGAGAAGGGGGCGGCGAGCGGAGGCAATCCCGGGCTGCCGCGGAGGCGGGCTGGGTTCACAATTCGCTGCCCGGGCCGAGCTCGCACCTCGCCTGCCGCAGAGGCAAAGGATGGGGAAGTGGCAGGGGACAAGAGACCGTCGTGTTTTGGAGAAAGCCTGGCGCTCCCGGCTTGTGCAGAAGATGCACGGAAAGAGATAAAGCAAGAGACTTAAAAAAAAAAAAAAAAAAAAAGGAAAAAAACCCACACACGGAGTACAGCAGATAAAGCGTCAGCACTGCAAAGGATGGTTAGACAGACAACTCATCCCCTAGGATTGTGCTCCCTCCTTCCCTTAAAGTACACCCAGCAGAAGCAAAGATGAGGCAGAGCTGTATCTTCTTATGCCTGGCACCACCACATTTATTAAAAATTATTACTATGTACATAGAAAAAACAAACAAGTTTATTGGGAGGGGGAAAAGTTTGTGGGCCAGTTGCTCTGGGGCAGTTTAAAATGGCTGAAAGAATAGGCAAGAATGGGTAAAGTTACATCACTTCCAGTTTCAGACAGGGCAGCTGAAAAAGTCACTTTACATACACATAAATAGAAATCTCCTTTTGCAATGTGTCATATGCCAAGTTTGATTAATCAAAAAATGCCTTTTGAACTTCAAAACACCACCGGATGTCCTTCCAACTGAACAGCTATAGGTCAACTATTTATACATTATTCCACAATATTCTACAGTGTACCTAGACAAAACACCAACTGTACACTTTGTTTTTGGCCACCTCAATAAAGGTTAGGCTTTGGGGATGGAGGCAGGGTTTTTTTAATGCAAGTTCTAAGCTAAGAGAAGTCAGATTTGGTCATTGTAATCCTGTTGGCAACAAGACCTTCAAGTCAAAATCCTGCCTGGCAAGCAGGCCTTATTTTGGCATTTTCTGCCAAAAAAAAAAAAAACCAACAAAACTGTAGCTGAGCAATATCCAACTCAGCCAACTGTGTTGTGGATGGGTTGAAAAAAACCAGCTCAGTCAAAAGCAGAACATAGCATTTGTGCAGTTCCCTGCAACCCAGTTCCCTTTTATCAAGCAGGGAAGGAAATTAAATTTGGGATCCCACCCCCCTCTTTCCTTGCTCAGGAGTGCAGAGATTTGAGCAGGTCTCTGAGCCAACCCAAACTGTATACTTTAGTGTCTCCAATAAATATGCCCCATATTTAGACACTAGAGTACTCCTTACAGCTTCTGCATATGGCTCCTTCTAAACAAGGGGAAGAATTCTCCCATGGTTTGCTCCTTCCCTACTGTTACCTGCAACAGTCAGAAAGCTTTGGCACCTTCTTTAGAATTGCACACAACAACTCAAGGTGGAAGGCAAGAGTCTTTTTGGCAATTGTAATGCAAAAAAAACCCAAGGCCACCCTGAAAAAAAAAACAAAACAAAACAGCCAATTGGAATAAAAAAGATGCTCTAAGAACTAGCATAGAACGCATAGTAGCCCATGCCTTTTGAAGTGTCTTTGCTATAGTCCTCAGCATTAATGTCCTCACATTTCATTGTCGGGGAATTTTCGTTGCTGGAAGTGCTAGGGGAAAGCCGTCTTCTCTTGCAAGCACCTGTGTAGACCCCAGAATCATTTGAATCTAGAGACTTTATAGAGGGTGGAGTCTCTATCCAGGACGAGCCAATTTCTTCTTTCACCTTGTCCTTGGAAAGCTGGTCTTCAGTGAATCCTGGAGGACTTGTTCTCGAGGGCCAAGTTAGTCCTGTCGTCATTTTTCGCTGGTAAGAGCCCCTGCTCCCCCAGCCTGCCATGGATGGGAACGTCGGGTCGGGGTAGTATCCCAGAGCGTGGGACGTCTGAAGCGGGAGGGATTTGATGCCGTAAGGGAGCAAGGGGCTATGAGAATACTCCGACTCATAGGAGTTCATGTCCAGTTTGTTGGCACTGGGCTGCTGCACGGGCGTCACAAACCACCGCTGAGGAGAGCTAGCCACCTCCTCGTTCTGCTGCGGGGACAGCAGGCCATTTGTCTGAGGGACAGTTCTCTCACCGTTGTAAAACCTGGCTGGGGGCAGGTTGTTGACAAACTGTTCTTGGAAGAACGGCTGCACACTGTATCGGGCACCAGGGACGATCTGGTGGGATCTAGGAGAATCCGTGGGAGATGGAGTTAATCTGTCATTTTCGGAAGCTGTGTACATGCTACAACATAAAAGAGGAATACCGAGTGTTTTTCTTTACAATTCCACTATGACAAAAACACAAACACACAGAAACTAGGTATTGCTTAATTAGAATCATAACTACACTTAATTGGATGACTATTTGTTTTAATCTGATTTAGTAGGCACTTTTCCTAGATCACTGTAAATTTTCTACTACTGCTACAAGCAACAGCACAAGTGAAGGTAGAAGATGACTATTAGGCAAGTCTTCTGCTGACAATTTAAAGAACTTGCCTATTCTGGAGACACCCAATATACTGCTATCAGTAAAGTCTGCAGGCCAGCTGGGTTCTGCCAACACAAGTTTCCTACCAAATTCACAAGCTAGCAGAAAGACGGGTCATCTAGACAATACACTATTCAGACATTTTAACATAAACAAAATTGCCAGTAGAAGAAGTACTGGTGCTGAATCTGAATTTCTAGTAAAACCCTTCCACAGACATTTCAGGTCAGAGTCATGCCTCCTAGACTGACATAACTGCAAAAGAAAAAAAAAGAGGTGTACTTACGAGTCATAGTTATCTCTGAAGCCTTTTGCAAAAGGATTATGGTCAATTTTGAGCTGTGTAATCTAAAAGTGAAAGCAGAATATATTAACATGAGATGCTGAACCCACAAGTCAATTTTGTTCTTAATTGCAATTTTATACAGCGATGCTTACATCAGTGTTTTGATATGCTGTAACTGCTATGAACTGCGTTTCAGGAAAATAAATGTTTGAGTCTTTGAGGAATCATTCAGATCTTCAACACCATCTTCAGTCACTTCCACAATGTGAAGTCGGGGCTGGTACTTGTGTAGGGACTGAAGTACTATCATCTAAAAGAAACCATGAAAGACACATCTTTAGACAAATTGCATGTAACATTAAAAGACCTATTCTACAGCATGACTTTTTTTCCTGTAAATTGTAATCTCTTGATTTAGAAATGGAACAGTTTTAACTGTTATCAGGAGCTGAGTCACAGCTTGTAGCCCTGCTTTACTAATAGCTCACACTTTTTGAGCAACTCTAGGGGATCAATATATTAGTGAAAACAAAAGTAATTCGCACATCATATTCCAACATTTTCAACTATTCATATGGCAAAACAAAGAAAAGAAGCTCTATGACCCAGTTCAAGAAAGGAACGAGTCACAAGCACAGCGATCTAGCGGCTCGACATAATGCTGTAAAAGCCCCAAACCTCCAGGGCTTCCCCGCTGAGCCACCAAGAGCCCCTCAGGCCTCCCCCTCTCCCTCCTTACCTGTGCGTTGTTGTTGTTAGCGCCTTTATTGTTCGTTAGCTTCAGCTTCCCGAAAGAAATCTCCTGCCTCATCCAGTGAGCCCCGGTGTTTGGCGACTCGGGGTGAACGTACACCTTGTTGCCTGGGGAGGACAAGCCAGTGAAACGCCGGCCGCGCACAGGGCTTTGTTCCGCGGCCCGCGCAGCCCCTCGGCGCCCCGATGGCCCCCCTCCCACACCAAAAATGCTTCGCGATGGAAAAAGACTCTCAACAAGGTCTTAAAAGCGTAGCTCGTCCCTCAGCAGGATGCCGGTGTGGGGGAGACCCTGAAAAGGGGGGAGGTGGGGGGGAAACTGGGAACCCTTTCCGAGAAACCGACCCGCGGGGAAAGGGGACCCCGGAACCTGCACCCACCTTGCATGTTGTTGTCCGCTTTGCCGCAGGTCACCCACTTGCCCCCCTGGAAACGCCAGTGGTTGGGGTCCGCCAACACCACCTCCACGAAGACGTTGTAGTGGGCAGTGGGGTTGAGGCCGGTGATGTTGAAGCTCAGGAAAGGAAACATTCTCCTGGGGAAAGGAGGAAAACCACAAGGCATGCTGAGGCAGGACGGGGGAGGGGGCACGGGCTCCGGCGGATGCTGTAGGCGGCCGTCGAGTGCCCCGTCCGTACCAGCACCAGAGAGACTAAGGAAGCAAGCGGCGAGCCCCAGGCGACCCCCGGGTGTGGAGAAACTGGGGAGCAGTTTCTCGGGGAAAACACCCCGGGGCACCACCGACGGACAGAGCACGCACCTCCAACCCGGGGAGAGCGGGCAAGCGCCGCCCGAGCCGAGCATGCCCCGGGGTGCCACCTCCCCCCACCATTCCCGACCACCACACCACTTCCCTCCATCCCCTGCGCCCACTTACCGGCCCTGTTTGGTGATGATCATCTCCGTCTGATGCCGGTGGAACTTGAGCCAGAGGGGCCGGTTGCAGAGGAAGACCTGCGCTCGCATCCCCGGGCCGGCGGCTGGCACCCCCAGCGCCCCGAGCCCGCCGCAGGAGCCCGACGCCGGCGGGTAAGGGCCGTACAGAGGTCCGCCGCCCGTCGCCTGCCCGTACTGGTAGCCGCCGCCGCCTCCGAACTGCGTCCGGCCGCCGGGCGGGCACACGGCGCCCGCGAAGCCGCCCGGGGACAGCACGGAGCCGTAGGGGTAGCGCGGCCCGCCGGGCGGCTGGTAGACGGCGCCGTGCTGCGCCGCCGGCGGGTACGGGAACAGGGCGCAGGGCCCCCCCAGGTCGGCCGCGGGCGGCCCGGGGGACTGCAGGTAGTAGCGCTCGGGGCTCAGGCTGTCCATGGAGTAGCGGGCGGCGGCGGCCGGGGGCAGCTCCTCGTCCCCGCATGGGGTGGCCTTGCGGCCGTCCGGCTTGGGGGCGGCGAAGGGCGGCTCGACGGCCTCCGCCTCGCCCAGGATGGCGGGGGCCGCCCCAAACTTCTTGGGCATCTTGTCCAGGTCGAGGCGAGGCGGCGATCCCGGACCGGGCGGCCCGCGGGAGCCGCCAGCAGCGCTTGTCCCAGCTCCCGCTCCGGCGGCTCCGGAGCGTCCGCCGCCCTCCAGCGGGTAGAAGGGGGCGCCCGGCAGTGCCCCCGCCGCCGTCAGCAGCGGCTCACCCAGCTGCATCCTCGATGGGCGGTGCGTTCGAGCTCCTACTCAATCCTGCGTCGACCCGACCTGTGGCCGCGCACGGCTGCACTCCGGCACCGCTCCGCCGAGACAATTTATACCGGCGCGCCGGGCTCCTCGGGCCGCCGCGGGGGAGGGGCCTGGGCCGCCCTGCCTCAGCGTCGCCCTCCACCCCCGCGGCCCATTGGCTGGGCCGCGTGACACTAATTTAATTAGACAGCTACTAATTGGAACAAGTCACCTGTGACTTTGGTGTGCGCCCCCTCCCTTTCCATGGCCCCCCTTCCTGCAGCCGGCTACCCGAGGGGCTTTGGCCCGCTCCGGGCCCCCACGTCGCTCGGACTGAGGGGAACTCCGCATCACCCCGCGGTGGCTGCGGATGGAGGGCCCGGCTCCCTCTCTTCGAAAAAAAAAAAAAAACAAACCTTTTGCTGAGGTGGCACCGTCCTACCGCTCGGGCGCGTAAGGAAGAATCCGCCGCGCTGAACGAGAGATGGAGACGAAATGGAAAGGTTTGGGTGGGAGAGCCGGCACCGGCCAGATAGGGAGGGCGGCGATCAACCGGGCCGCTGAGACGGGGCGGGGGACGCTGGCGTCCCGCAACCTCCCCGCCAGCCGCCTCGCCGTTCACACAATTCGGCTTGTGTCTCTGCTGCGTCCAGCAGCCTCCTTCCTCCCTCTCCGCTCCCCGAGCAGCATCCTTATCGTGGAGTTAACCTTATCTTGGGATAAGTGATCTTGGTGATGATCATCCTTATCACCTTATCTTGGGAAGTGGCGGGTTCGGCTCGCAATTCCAGTTTCCAGGAACTCGGCAGTCGGTTTCTCACAACCCGCGTTCCCCTTCAGCATCTCCCGCCGGGAAGGCAGATTTTTAATTGAGGCGGGTGCTAGATCTGTTTGGCTCTTTCTCTCAGTGCAAATCCCCGAGCCTTTAGCCTCAAAAAGGGTAGGGAACAGCGCTTGGGAAGGGGTGGATGTCCGTGTGATTTTGTGGAGAGGGCAGAGCCGGCCTGAATGATTTGCAGCTACAAATCCGCAGCCCCTCGCCCCTCTGCTCGCCACCAGCCATCTCGCAGGGAGCGCTGCAAACACCTGCCTCCACCTCACGGCTGAATTTTAAACCAGACCCGCTGAGCGGCCAGGATTTCGTTGCCCGACAGAAGGATCCGGCCGGGCTGAAGCAACCCAGCTCTGCCGCCCTCAGCGCCGCCTCGGCCCTCTGGCCCCCCGCTCCCGGCATCGGGCAAGTGAGGTAAATGGCGAGGGCTGACCGCGGCCGCCGAGAGCCGGGGCCGAGGCGCTGCCGGAGCCCCGCCGGGATGTGCATCCCACGCAAGCCGGGCGCCGGCAGGTGCGGGCGGCGGGGCACGCCCGGCAGTGACCGCCGAAGCCGGGGACGGGCAGGACTCAACCCCCACCCCCGGTGGGAGCCGAGAGACGGGGAAGCGGCCCCTGCTGTGCCCACCTCTGGCTGCGGCCACACAGGCGGAAGCCTGGGCTAGGCTGCTCGCAGCCGACAATGAAATACCAGTCCCAGCCCTAACCACACGTTCTCTCCGGGATAATGATTGCCTCAATTTTTGCGTGGATCTCGTTCGACCGAATAAGACAACAAAAAATGCGTCGGAAAAGTCCGATGCTCCGGCACGAAGCGGACCAGGCGCTGGAGCCCCAGGGTGCGAAGTGGAGCAGAGCTCGTCCGAGCTGCCCTGCTTTGAAAGCAAAACAAGCCGAGGAGCATCCTGCCGGGCGCTGCCGAGGCCGAGCCGCTGCGCCCCTTCCCGCGGCCGGAGAGCCGGGTGCGGCTCCTCTCGGCGGGGCTGGCCCCAGCCCGGGGATGCGCTCCCACAGCTCGCTCCCTCGGGCTCTGCCTCTCCCCGGCTAGGGCAGGGAAGGAAGGAGATTTTATAAGACCACTATGTAGGTTTTAAGGGAGTTCATTTTACGTTTTACAGACTGAAAGGGTCATATTATTTCAAACATTCCTTCGGGTGCCGCGTAGTACAAGGCTATTGCGGGTTTTTCCCCCCTAAAATCAGGCGATCTCGCGTTTATCTGGGCAAGGTAGACAAGCTTTCGATGTTGCTTACGGACTGCGGATTGCACCCGAGAGGAGGGCGTAAACCTGTAGCTGTCCCGGGAAAGGGAGACCCTTCCGTTTTAGTTCGAAATACGCCCGGGGTGAAGCTCTCCCTAACGAACGAAGGATTGGTGAATCCTTCTCAGACTTGGGGTTATTTTCAGCTCAGCTCGGGAGAACAGCAGCCTGGCTCCCGTCCCTGCCTCGTACTCCGCAGCTCCCGCCGAGCCGGTGCTCTGGCGGCGGTGGCGGGGGAGGTCGGGGTCGGGGTTGCCGCCCCGGGAGTCCCGTCGAACCAGACTGCCCGGAGACCTTCAGCGGCGCAGCGGGAGGGAACCCCGGTAACGCGGGGCTTCTTCATCCACTCTGTACACTGAGGGAAAAGCTGTAATTCACCCCCTCCAGAGTCCCGCAAATTAAAGTTACCACAGTCACCATAACAAATTCTTTGTACCCAGCATTTGTCATTGCTATCGCTGCCAATCTACCGTCCCTGGGAATCAAGGAGGCAACCGGGCGAATGCCACTCCCCTCCCACCCCTACAAGCCGTATCCGTCCTTACTCCCTGCCCCGGTGCCCGACGGGCTCTGCCCAGGAACACCGCCGCAAGAACTTGCGGGATGCTTCAGTCCTGTGGGACTGGAGACTTCTGAATGGGTCCCGCAGCCCTTAGCTGTTATCTTAAAAATAACACTGCAGAAACATCACAGTCTGGTGCAGTAGAAAGGAGCATGATAGGTTTGCAAATCTACCAAAATAACCTCTAAACCACACAAACAAACAAAAAAAAAAACGGTTTTGAAAGAAGACATAGGTCTTTGAAGGGTTACAGATTATCTTCTTTCGTTGGGCTTTATTCAAATATATTCATGGAGTTTATTCAAATAAAGGAACACCTCTAGCTCTAAAAAAGCTGTTCCAGAAGAGCTTTTTTTCTGCAGCCCAAGTTATAGCAGTGGCACACTGAACTGAAATATTTAATACTTTGCTTTTGGGCTGGGATCGAGACCAGAAGACTTTTTTGTCAGAGTATTGGAAAACAGCCTCCGCTTCAACAAATTGCTCGGACTCTTGTGACTGAAACTGTACAACTGAAGCACCCTGCTCTGGAGGGCCTAAGAGGAGAAACTGGGAACAATAGGATCTATCAGGCTCATATTCACATATTCACATACACATATGTGTGTATGTACATATGGAAATCCACATATCACCATTTATAGCCATATATGACCTTAATCCTTATAAATATGGGTCTGGATACATACACACACCCCATTGGATCTGTATGGACACTTTAAAAACATTGGCTCTTAGAATGACCTGTCACACTATTCCATTGCTGTATTCTTTTCCTGAAGTTCTGCTGCCACCATGACAGGATTCACAGGTATTTTCTGAATACTACATCTGTATAGTTTAAGTGAGGTAATTTTTCTTTGTTTGATTTTGGTTTAAAACTATCTGTAAGTTTCTGGAGAATTTGCTAGCATCTGGTTCCCAAACGGCTTTAATACTTTCACCTTTATGTCAATCTTGTGCAGAGATTTTACAGATTTTCTTTCTATTTTTCCAGTAATTCATTATGTTGGCTTTTTTTTCCTCCTTCAACTTACACACAGAGTATCACACTGGGCAGATGAAGGAAGACACTTTTAACTTCCACTCTTTCACCATGTCTCAATGGCATTTTTAAAATCACTAAAGCTGGGATATTTCAGATGTAGCCAGTCAAATATTAGTGCTTCCTTTTAAAATTCTTGATACCATTTTTTTTCACAGCCAGTGAGTCCTTACAGCACTCCAAAAAAAAAAAAAAAAATCAAGGAAGTATTAATATGGCTGTGCAAGGCTTGGCATTTCAGCTTGTCGCTGAACTTCAGGGGCTGTTTTTATGAGGAAACCAGCTACACCCTTTCAGTGCCCAGGGACTTTCTTCTGTCACATGCAGTCAATGTCCATCTGTTTCATGGGAATGTTAGGAGACTGAATTAACTGAAAATGCTCTTTATTTTCTGATGAAAACAAGTCCTTCTATAGCTGCAAAAACCATCAATCAATTTTATTTATGCCAAGTGGGATTTTCAGTGTGCAGTCATACACAGTCACGAAGAAACAAGTATAGCTTAAAATCTGCTCGGAGGCTGAGAAAACTTAACCCAAAAGGGTTAAAAAGTAGAGCCAACTCTTGTTGAAATATATATATATATATATATATATTTCCACTATTTCAAGTCCATATATATATATATATATATATATATATATATATATATATATATATATGGACTTGAAATAGTGGAAATCAATAGCCCTACAAAGCCAAAGAACTATTACCTTTACAATTGACCAGGAAAGGTGTCACATTAACAGCAATTTTACCCTTTGGTAATGATTCAATTTAACTGCCTAACTGCCACTTCCTTTTAAAAGGCAGCATATAGGCATACATATTTTTTTTAAATGGCCATATGTGGACATAAACCCTATAATAAGGGCAGGGCTAATTTATAAAAATCAGAGAGTAAAGAATAGCCCTTTCCAGCCAAGGTATACAAAACAGAAATAGACAGAAGTCAATGAAACAGGACCCGGAAGAAACAACTCAGGGTTTGAAAATAAAGTGGTATTCAAAGCAACTTCGTTAATCACTTCCTTTCTGCTCCTTCTAATAAAATAGCACCTAAAAATCTTTAGCTGTAATTTAAAATAAAATGTCAATGCAATGTAATGGTTAGTAAAAAAAATATTAAAAGTCTGATCCTAATTGGTAAAATATAGACAGACAAGGGTAAACATATTCAATGCTTCAAGTGAATTTTTTGCAATGGCTAATTTTGCTAGGTAAGACCACACAACAACTCTGTCCTTGGGCCTTTGGCACCCTATTGGCTAAAGTAGGAAAAAGGAAGTGTGTTCAAGAAAGTGTAAGTCTCTGTAAAGTGAATGCCTTTGTTGTTTTGACAAATTTGGAAAATCTATAGTAAGGGAGATGGGAAAAGTATTGTCATCAACTTCCATATGACTTTCCTTGCTCCAAATGGAATTGTAGAAACTTAGTGAAAGAAAGAGACTGAAACTAGGATAACAAACACAACCATAGCCATGACCAGCATTTAACATTTTTAATATGGTTTATGGCTTAGGCAGGTGCACACTCTGCTGGGTGAAAACACATCTGGATGGCCAGGCCCAGAGAATGGTGGTGGTCTGTGTTACATCCAGTTGGCAGCTGGTCACAAGTGGTCCCCAGGGATCAGTGTTGCAGCCAGTCCTATTTAATACCTTTATTGGTCTGGATGAGGGGATGAGTGCACACTCAGCCAGTTCATGGATGACACCAAGTTGGGCAGGAGTATTGATGTGCTGGAGGGCAGAAAGGCTCTGCAGAGGGATCTGGAAAGGCTGGATTGGTGGTCCAAGGCAAACTGTATGAGGTTTAACAAGGTGAAGTGTCAGGTCCTGCAGCTGGGTGATGCGAGCCCCACTGAACATGCAGGCTTGGGGAAGAGCGTCTGGAGAGAAGGAAAGCGGCCCAGTGGAAAAGGACCTGGGGGTGCTGGTCAACAGCTGGCTGGACATGAGCCAGCATGTGCCCAGGTGGCCAATGGCATCCTGGCCTGTATCAGCAGTAGTGTGGCCAGCAGAGCCAGGGCAGTGACTGTCCCCCTGTGCTCAGGAGTGGTGTGGGCACACCTCAAATCCCGAGTTCCGTTTTGGGCCCCTCACTGCAAAAAAGACATTGGGGTACTAGAGCCAGTCCACAGAAGGGCAACAGAGCTGGTGAAGAGTCTGGAGCAAAATTTCTGCAGAGCAGATGAGGTAGCTGGGGTCGTTAACCTGGAGAAAAGGATGCTCAAAGGGGACAATCCTGCTCTCTACAACTGCCTGAAAGGAGATTGTATCAAGGTGGGGGTCAGGTTCTTCTCTCAGATAAGAAGCAATAGGATGAGAGGAAATAGTCTCAAGTTGTGTCAGAGGACGTTTAGTTTGGATATTAGGAATAATTTCTTCACTGGAAGGGCTGTCAAGTATTAGAACAGGCTGCCCGGGGAAGTAGAGTCACCACCTCTGGAGGGGCTTAAACAACTCGTAGATGTGGCACTTGGGAACACAGTTCAGTGATGGACTTGGCAGTGCTGGATTGGTGGTTGGACAACATTATTTTAGAGATCTTTTCCAACCTAAACTATTCTATAATTATTTATGCATAGGGATCTCCAAGCAGCTCTTTGTAAATGCTTGCTTTTTCACCCTTCAATAAATTTAGTGAGGGACGCCTAGCACCTTTTCCCTGGTTTTAAAGCAACATTGCCTAATCACATATAGATTTGTGCCCATAACCATCCTGACAGTTACACAATAGAGATGTGAGAACATA